CCTCCTGTGTGCTTTATTGTACGTATGAATATGTATGCATGTATACATATACATATATATACATATACACATATATACATCTATATATGCACACATATACATACCTATAAACATGTATGCATACATACATATGTAACCACACATATCCTTTTTGGTTGTTGTTGCAAAATTGTATATGTCATAGCATTTACTAAAAAGGTCCTTTTTTCTTGAGTATTCCTTAGTAACATCATTTACCTTGTTCAAGCTGTGCACACTTCACCTACATTCGGTGTTACCTTTCCCATCACCAAAAATAACAAGTGTCTACTATCTAGAGGGAGATTCCACCCTTCCCCCATCCCTGGTAACCACCAATGATTGTTGGTTTCTGTACATATACCTATTCTAGCTAAATTTATTTATTTTTTCCAAGATGTAACATTGGCCAGACTGGTCCAAATGTTAAGATTAACTTGATCATCTTACACGGTAGGGGCTTATCCTTGGAGAATGAGCATGAATATATTATTATTATTTTTATTGTGGTAAAATATATGTAACATAAAACTGCCATTCTAATCTTTTTTTAAGTGTACAGTCCAGTGGCATTAATTATATTCACAATGTTGTGCAACCATCCCTACTATTTGTTTCCAAAACTGTTCCATCATCCCAAACAGGAACTCAGTACCCCTTAAGCAATAACTCTCCATTTCCCCTCCCTGCCGTCCATGGTAACCACTAATCTACTTTTTGTCTCTGTGTACTTGCCTATTCTAGATATTTCGTGTACAGTATTTTTTACACAAATAACATGCACCTTTTACGTTTGCCTGCCAACCACACCCTCCCCCACGAGGTATTTTTGTAAGTGCCGCTATGCCAATTTTTTTTTACATTTCTGTAAAAAAAAAAAAAAAATAGCATAGCACACTTACAAAAATACCTTGTAGGAGGAGGGCGCAGTTGGCAAACAAACGTAGAAGGCGTGCATTGTTTGCTAAAAATACGGTAGGTGGGGTCATTGGATATTTGTCCTTTAGTGTCTGACTTATTTCACTCAGCATGTTTCCAGGGTTTATCCATGTTGTAGCACGTATTAGTACTTCATTTTTGTTGCGTGTATATATGTATATATATATATATATGTATATATACATATATACACTATGTTCTGTTTATTCATTCACCTGTTGATAGACGCTTGGATTTTTTTCCACCTTTTGGCTATTGTGAATAATGCTGCAATGAACACTGGTGTACAAATATCTGTTTGAGTCCCTGCTTTCAAGTCTTTTGGGTATATATCTAGGAGTGGGATTGCTGGCTCATATACTAATTCCATGTTTAACTTTTGAGGAACCTTAACATACATATATATTTTAATGGAGAAGGCAACTTTAAACTTAGCAAGGATGGGTAGGCTGATAGTGGAGCTGGGTGGGAAAGAAATGATCAGAGAGGAAGACCACTTTGCCAAGGCTCTGAACAAATCAGTGGAAATCTTTTGGGTCTGCTGATGAAACAGAGGCTTTCAGGGTAGAAATGATGACCCACCCCTCTGAAGAAGTGAACTGTGGACCATGACACAGGCCATGGAAGCCCCATCACCCCACAGGGACTTCTGCAGGCATGGGATCTTGACTACCAATGACCAGCTCTTCCACATCTAAGCTGGACCTATGCTCATGAAGTACCTTGTGGAAGTCCAACAGGTAGACAGAAACACACGAAATGAGTCTTCTACCTTGTTATTGGAGAAAGGCCTGGTGATCTACTTCTGAAAGATCACAACCATTGAAAACCCTATGGAGTGCAGTTCTACTCTGAAACACATGGGGCCGCCATGGGCCAGAATCAACTTGATGGTAACTGGTGACACCTTGCTATTGGCTCTGAAAGTAACATTCCAGAACAGACTAGGACTTGGGAATTGGGGCAGTTCCTTACTCCCACGCCACACCCATCTTCCCTAGATGTCCAGGGCTGCACAGGGAGATTGAGTGGATGAAAACAAGCAGGAAGGGGCTTTTTAAAAATATTCCCTTAAAACTGAAGCTGACTTGGGAGAGTAGCATCTGGGGTCTTAAAAGCTTACAAGCAGCCATCTAAAACACATCTATTGGTCCCATCACATTTGGAGCAAAGGAGAATGAAGGAAACCAAAGACACAAGGAAAATATTAGTCCAAAGGACTAATGGACCACAAGTACGACAGCCTCCACCAGCCTGAGCCCAGAAGAACTAGATGGTGCCTGGCTACCACCACTGACTGCTCTGACAGAGATCACAATAGAGGGTGCTGGACAGAGCGGGAGAAAAGTGTAGAACAAAATTCAAATTCACAAAAAAAGACCAGACTTACTGTTTTGACAGAGACTGGAGGAACCCCAAGACTGTGACCCCCAGACACTCTGCTAACTCAGAACTGAAGCTATTCCTGAAGTTCACCTTTCAGCCAAAGACTAGACAGGCCTATAAATAAACAGTAACACACGTGAGGAGCGTGTTTCTTTGTTCAATCAAGTATACGAGACCAAGTGGACAATACCTGCCCAAAAGGAAAAACAAGAAGGCAGGAAGCGTCAGGAAAACTAGACAAATGGACACAGGGAACCTGAGGTGGAAAGGGGGAGAGTGCTGACATGTTGCAGGGGTTGCAACCAATGTCACAAAACAATTTGTGTGTAAATTTCTGAATGAGAAACTAATTTGCTCTGTAAACTTTCACCTAAAGCACAATTAAAAACAAACCACCAAACAAAAAAACTGAAGCTGAAACAAGCATAGATTACTCCCAAAAACCACAGAAAGTATGATGAAAACCTTCCCCCCGCCCCGAGGACTATAGCTCTGCTTCAATATCTATTCAGTTGTCTAAGCACATTGTCACAATTTTAGTAATTTGGGGGGCAGGGGAGGAGCAGTCACCACTAGGAAGGTTGAGGTGGTGCCTTAGGTCGAGTGACCCTTTGTCACCAGCCAAGGTCAAACAGGAAGATAGACACTGAGATGTCAAAGCAGCAGGGCAGAGGGGAAGGAGGGCCAGACTCAGTGTTGAGAGATCCAAGTTCTACTCTAAATCCAGCTCAAATAGCACTACCTGTGGGACGCCTTCTCTGGTTCCCCAGAGCAATTGTCTTCTTGCTCTTATAAAGAAGTCACCGGGTAGCGCAAATTGTTAAGTGCTCTTTTACTGACTGTAAAGGCTGGTGGTTCAGTCCACCCAGATACGCCTTGGAGAAAGGCCTGGTGATGTGCTTCCAAAAAAATCAGCCACTGAAGACCTTATGGAGCACAGTTCTACTCTGACACACATAGGCTTGCCATGAGAGAATCGACTCCACAGCAACTGTTTTTTTTTTTTTTCCCGCTTATATTTTGTCCAATATTTACTTAATCATTCTTTCCCAATAGACATTGGACTAGCTCCTTGAGACGAGGATTCTTTTCTCATTCATCCATGTATCCCCTTCAGAGATGTATCAGTTAGCTTTTACTGCGCAGAAACCCCCAACATCTTATGGCATAAAACTAAAAACATTTATTATTTCTCACAATTCCATGGGTCATCTGGGCAATTCTTATGGTCTGGATCAGCTTGGCTGGGGCTGGAGAGTCTAGGATGCCTTCACTTATGTGTCTAGAAGTTGGCAGGCTGGTTGATCTAGGGGATGGGGTTCAACTGGGAAGATGTGTTTATGTTCCACATGGTTTCTCATCCTCCAGTAGGCTAATCTGGGCTTCTTCACTTGGTGGTCTTGGCTCCATAGAGCAGCAAGAGATGCATGTCCCGACGCACAAGCTGTTTCCAAACCTCTGCTGGCATCACGTTTACTAATGTCCCATTGACCAAAGCAAGTGAATGGCCAAGCCTAGCCAAGGGGTGGAGATATAGACTCCACCTCCTGATGAGAGGAGCTGCAAAGTCACATTGTCAAGGGGAATTTGTGGACATTTTTGCAAGGTACCACAGAGGCTTGCACCGTGCTTGTCTCACAGTAGGTAATCAAGATGTTTGTTGCAAGAATTAAGAGGTAAAATCTATTCAGATAATGTCAGTGCACCACCTTCCCTATCAGCACATCTACTTTCATGCCTCCTGTCCATCGTTGGGAACTTTGAACTGGATCAAAGCTTTATACAGTAATTTGGAAAGTTTATTACCCTTGGCTTAAATGTGATGGCTTCTTCCTGTGGGTTAGAGAGTCAGAGCTCTCATTGGAGTTCTTGGTCCTAACTATCTTGATGCTGGAGCTATGCACACATCTCATTGGGTTATAGATTCTGCCCCACCCCTAGTCATTGTTCTTTGAACAGATGGAAAGAGGGGAAACCCTTTGACCACCAAAGCATGGTTAGCCTTAGCTGGAGGCACCGCTCTCTGCCAGTCGCTGCCACTTGGTGCCTCCTAGTGGCTTCTTCTTGCATTGCCCCACTCAAGAAGCGAAATTCACCATTTGAATTGTCAAAAGTTTGACAGAATCGAGAACCTTCCATGGGAGAGCTCTCGACGTAGTGAAGTGCTAGAGATGAAAAGAAAAAACATTTTTTAAAAATTACCATTTATATCTTGTAGTTGGTGAGTCCCTGTTTTCACAGTGGCTTGGTCTAGAGAAAAGGTCGAGTAGCAAATAAAGATAATGCATATGACCAAAAAAACAAACCCACTGCCCCTGAGTCCAAGAAGCAGCTGGTGGATTCAAACTGCTGACCTTTTGGTTAAGCAGCCATAGTGCTTACCCACTGTACCACCAGCGCTCCAATGCATGTAAAAGGGATCTATATCATTAAGAAGCCCTGGTGGCACAATGGTTAAAGCGCTTGGCTGCTACCAAAATGTCTGCAGCTCAAACCCACCAGCTGCTCTGCAGGAGAAAGATGCGGCAGTCTGCTTCTGTAAAGATTTACAGCCCTGGAAACCCTACGGGGCAGTTCTCCTCTGTCCCAAAGGGTTGCTATGAGTTGGAATCAACGCAACGGCAGTGGGTTTGTTTTTTTGTTTATATTATTAAGAGTTAGGGGCAGGGGGGTGAGGAGCAGTGTTGTTCCCACTGAAGGAACATGGTGGAGTTGGGGAAGGTGAGAGAGTGTGCCGGCTGGATCAGCTCGTGGATGGCCTGGTAGGTCCCCGCCACAAAGCCCACAAAGCCCAGGATGCTGATCAGGGCGTCCTTGGTGATGGTGAAGGGGCTCATGCCCTCTGAGTAGTAGGTAGTGATCTCCAGGAGGGGCGGGATGACGAGGGCCAGGGCGCTGCCGCTCACGGAGCCCACCAGGGTGAGGACCAGGTCCAGGCGGGGGATGAGGATGGCTATGGAACCTACAGGAGATGATAGGAAATAGATAATCTCATGCTTAGCCAAGCTTTTAAAGTTTGTTTTTAAAATCCTTTTTTTTTAAAAAAAATAAAACATTTGTTTCTCATACAAATAGTACAGATATAAAGTAAAAGTTGAAAATCCTCTAATACCCTGGCTCATACTCCCTAGAGGTTACCCATAAAAATTTGGTGTGCCTACTTCCAGTCATTTTCCAAATATATATATTCATATAAATATATACCTATACATTAAAAAATATATATGTATATAGAATTATACTCTTATAATACTTGCTGTTTTCCCTTGCTTTCTTACCATGTCAATGTAGAGGTCTACTACTATCTTTCCAAATAGCTACATAATATTCCTTAGCAGGGCTGCATCATGATTTGGTAACTCATTCTCCCTTTGGGAGGCATTGAGGTTGTTACAATTCTTGATGATTACAAACAATAAGCATCCTTGTGTATTACTGCTAAACACATGAGGGGCTGTAGCCATAGATCAATTCCTACAGGTGGAATTGCTGAGTGAGAGAGTATGTACACTCTTAAAGTTGATATAAAATTAACAAAATGGGATTTTTTTAAAAAGAAGGAAACCCATCCAGATTATCCTTTTTAAAAGATAGGGATCCTTTTCTTCTTATTCATTGGTATGTCCCCTGCAATAAACATGAGACACGGGAGTCATTCAGTAAATATTTGTTGAACAAATTTACTACAAGTTTTGGAATATTGTTATGGTTTTTAGGTTAGCTAGATCTTTTCTACAAAACGGGCAGGGCAGTTTGGAGGGAAAATATTTATGTAGCTATGTGTTCCCCTGTCTCCCACAAGGGGGCAGTGTTTTCCATAATTAAAAGCTGAACTCATTCATTCATCAGTATTTATTAAGTGCTTACTTAATAAGGAACACTTAATAACAGTGCTGGGAACTCTCTTTTTTGTATTTCCTATTCATATTTTTATTCATATTTTTTAAACTTTTTAATTTTTTTTTTGTTGTTGAGAATATACACTGCAAAACATACACCAGTTCAACAGTTTCTACATGTACAACTCAATACCATTGATTACATTGTTAGAGTTGTGCAACCATTCTCACCCTCCTTTTCTGAATTGTTCCTCCCCCATTGACATAAACTCACTGCCCTCTAGGGTTCCTACCTAATCTTTCCAGTTGCTATTGAAAATTTCATGTTGTATAGCTAGTTCTTAAAAGAGCATAATGCTCAAGGTAGACTTCCTTTACTAGGTAAGCTAAACTACTGTTTCGTTTTAAGAAGACTTCAGGGATTTTTTTTTTTTCCCAGAAACCCTGGTTAAGAGCTATGGCTGCTAATGAAAAGGTCAGCAGTTCGAATCCACCAGACACTCCTTGGAAACACTATGTGGCAGTTCTACTCTGTCCTATGGGGGTCGCTGTGAGTCAGAATTGACTTGATGGCAATGGGTTTTTTGGTCAGGGATATTTTCAGTTTAAGGTTTAAAGATTATCTCGGGCAATAATTTCAGGGGTTCATCCACCTTCCATGGCTCCAGAGAGTCTGGAGTCCATTGAGAATTTGAAATTCTGTTCTACACTTTCCCCCTTTTGATCTGGATTCTTCTCTAGAATCTTTGCACAGAAAGTTCAGTAATGGTGGCTGGGTACCATCTAGTTCTTCTGGTCTCATGACAAAGGAGGCAGTTGTTCATGGAGGTAATTAGCCACACATTCCACTTCGTCCTCCTGTTCCTGACTCTCCTTCTTCCTCTGTTGCTCCAGGTGAATAGAGACCAATTGTGCCTTGGATGGTTGCTTGAAAGCTTTTAAGACCCCAGGCATTAAACAATGAACTAGGAGGTAGAACAGAAGCACTAAACACTAAGCAGGTAACTGGGATGTCCCATGACCCTAAACCTCCAAACCAAGGAATCAAATCATTCTATGAGGTGTTTGGTTGTATATAAGCAGCCTCAGCTGCTACGTTCTTTTTGGTCATTGTTGTAAATATGTCTATCACATAACGTTTGCCAATTCAACTTTTTACAGGTGTACAACTTACTGACAGCACTTATAATAATTGGCTGTGCAACCCTACACTTAATCAATGCAATCTTTCCATCACGGTAAATCTAAACTCAGTACTTCATAAGCAATAACCTCCTCTTTCCCTCTCCCTTCCACCCCTGGTACCACTAATAAACTTTGGTCTCTATACATTTGTCTTTTTATATAAGTGAGGTCACACAATATTTGTCCTTTGATGATTCATTTATTTCACTTAGCATAACGTCTTCAAACTCCATCCATATTGCAGCATGTATAAAGACTTCATTTCTCTTACTTGCTGAATAGTATTCCAATGTATGTATGCACGACATTTGTTTATCCATTCATCTGTTGATAGGCATTTAGTTTGTTTCCACATTTTGGCTATTGTGAATAATGCTGCAATGAACATTCGTGTACAAGTCTCTGTTTGAGTCTCTGCTTTTCAAGTCTTTTGGGTATATACCTAGGAATGGAATTGCTGGGTCATATGGTAGTTCTGTTTTTAGTTTTTTGAGGAACCACCACACTGTTCTCTCCAACGGCTGTACCATTTTGCGTTCCCACCAGCAATAAGGGTTCCTATTTCCCACATCATCCTTGCCAACATTTGTTATTTTCTGTTTTTTTAAAAAGTCTTAGCCATCCTAATGGAGTGAAATGTTATCTCATTTTGTGTTTTGTTTTGTTTTTAATTTTACTGTATTTTAGGTGAAAGTTTACGGTGCAAATTGTTTCTTATTTAAAAATTTATACACAAATTGTTTTGTGACATTGGTTGCAATCCCTGCAATGTGTTAGCACTCTTCCCCTTTTCCTTTACATCCCGAGTTCCCTGTGTCCATTCATCCAGGTTTCCTGTCCCTTCCTGCATTCTTATGTTTGCTTTTGGGCAGGCGTTGCCCATTTTTGGTCTCATGTACTTGATTGAACTAAGAAGCATGTTCCTCACATGTGTTATTGTTTTGCAGGACTGTCTAAAATTTGGCTGAAAGGTGGTGTTTGGGAGTGGCTTCAGTTCTGAGTTAGAGGGGTGTCTGGGGGCCCTAGTCTTACAGGTTTCTCTGGTCTCTGTCAGACCAGTAAGTCTGGTCTTTTTTCATGAATTTGAATTTTGTTCTACATTTTTCTCTCAATCTGTCCAGGACCTGCTATTGTGATCCCTGTCAGAGTGGTCGGTGGTGGTAGCTAGGCACCATCTAGTTCTTCTGAGCTCAGGCTGATGGAGACTGTGGTTCATTGGTCCCTTAGTCCTTTGGACTAATATTTTCCTTGTGCCTTTGGTTTTCTTCATTTTCCTTTGCTCCGAATGTGATGGGACCATTAGATGTATTTTAGAGGGCAAGCTTTTAAGACCCCAGACACTACTCACCAAAGTAGGATGTAGAACTTTTTCTTTATTAGCTATGTTATGCCAGTTGACCTAGATGTTCCTCAGGACCCTGGTCTGCAGCCTTCGGCCCCAGTAACTCAGTCCCTTAAGGTGTTTCTATGTGTCTAGGAAGCGTCTATGTCTTTGCCTTGATCAAGTTGTGCTGTCTTTCCCTTCACCAAAGTTAACACTTGTCTACTATCTAGTTGGAGCTCTGATGGCTCAGTGGTTAAGAGCTTGGCTGCTAACCAAAAGGTGGGCAGTTCGAATCCACCAGCCACTCCTTGGAAACCCTATGGGGCAGTTCTACTCTGTCCTATAGGGTTGCTGTGAGTTGGAATCACCTCCATGGCAATGATTATTGTCTAGTTAGTGATTTCCCCTCCCTACCACTCCCCTCCCTCATAATCATCAAAGATTGTTTTTTTCTGTGTGTAAACCTTTTCTTGAGTTTTTATAATAGTGATCTCGTACAATATTTGTTTTTTTTGTGATTGACTTATTTCACTCAGTATAATGCTCTTCAGATTCATCCATGTTGTGAGATGTATCACAGATACATCATAATTCTTTATCATTTCGTAGTATTCCATTGTGTGTAGGTACCATAGTTTGTTTATCCATTTATCTGCTGATGAGCACTTTTTGTTACTGTGGATAATGCTGCAAGAAACATGGGTATGCATATGTCTACGGCTCTTATTTCTCTAGAATATATTCCTAGGAGTGGGATTGCTGGATTGTATGGTATTTCTATTTCTAGCTTTTTAAGGGAGCTCTATCTCTTTTCCCAAAATGGTTGTACCATTTTATATTCCCACCGGCAGTGCATAAAAGTTTCAATCTCCCTGCAACCTCTCCAACATTTGTTACTTTCTTTTCTTTCTTATTAGTGCCAGTATTGTTGGGGTGAGATGGTCTCTCTTTGTAGTTTTGATCTGCATTTCTCTAACAGCTAATGATGGCGAGCATTTCCTCACGTGTCTGCCAGCTGCCTGAATGTCTTCTTTTGTAAAGTGTCTGTTCGTATCCGTTGTGCATTTTTTTAATTGGATTATTTGTCTTTTTGTTACTGAGGTGTTGAAGTAGTCTATAGATATTAGAGATTAGACTCTTGTAGGATATGTCGTAGCCAAAATTTTTTCCCCAGTCTGTATGTTCTCTTTTCACTCTTTTGGTGAAGTCTTTTGATAAGCCTTAGTGTTTAATTTTTAGGAGCTCCCAGTTATCTAGTTTATCTTCTGGTTTTTGTGTATTGTTAGTTATGGTTTGTATTGTATTTATGCCCTGTATTAGGGCCCCTAGTGTTGTCTCTATTTTTTGTTCTATGATCTTTATTGTTTTAGATTTTGTATGCAGGTCTTTGATCCATTTTGAGTTAGTTTTTCTGTATGGTGAGAGGTGTGGGTCCTGCTTCATTTTTATACAGATTGTTGTTGTTGTTGTTGTTAGGTGTCGTCGAGTCAGTTCCGACTCTTAGTGACCCAACGTACCACAGAAGGAAACACTGCCCAGTCCTGCGCCGTGCCCACAGTCACTGTTTACACTTCAGCCCATTGTTTCAGCCACTGTGTCAGTCTATCTCATTGA